GAGAGAGACAAAGATGAGAGACAGAGAAATAGAGGCAGAGGGAATGCGAGAGAGGGAGGCAGACGCAGAAGTGGGGAGAGAGAGACCGCCGTGAGATGTGTGAGTGGGTGGCTGCACATCGACTCACTTAGGGAGTGTCGGCCCCTTCTGTACTCTCTTTCAATTCTAAACCACTCCAAGGACAAATTCCTCATCGGTGTTCTGTGTCAGGAGGGAGACAGCAACAGATACAGGCATAGAACATTTTGGGACGAGAGACTAGCCAGGGTTAATTACTATTCACTTCATGGTTATGTTTGAGGACCTTCTACTAATACAGAGATTACTGGTTTTCCTTTAAAGACAGTGATGCAACTGTTCCCTTTAAAATACATTTTTTTCCTAAGTGATTGTTTTGAAAGAAAATTATTAAGTAAATAATCATTCATTGGCTTCAGGAATTTGGCAAGAATCATGGCAGTGGTTCTCACATATTTGGAGCTTGGCAAACACTGACCTGTAAGAGAAGATATGGTTAATTCACTCAGCTGGTCACCAGAAGCTTGGTGGTTGGAGTGTACCCAAAGAAAGGGCTGGTGATCTACTGCCATAAAGATCAGCCATGGAAAACTCTAGGAAGAGAGCAGTTTTACTCTGACACACACAGGGTCACCATGACAGGGTTGACTTGATGGCAGCTGATACTGGTAAATCTCCCAGCCAAGATACCAGCCTCAGGGCTCAAGCCTGGCTGGCTGGTCACCTCCTCTCGCCCTCAGTCCCTGACTCCTCCCAGCCACAGAGGGCTGTGTGCATCCCTGAACACCTGACTGTGTGCAGCCTCCTTGACTTTGCTTGGGATGCTCTTTTCCCCACCCAACCTTGTTCAGAAGGTCTCCTCTATTTGTTACCAAAATCCAGCTCAAACACCTGCTGGGGAAGGACCACCTCTCACCCTGAGTTCACGGTTCCCTCCTCTGTGGCTTTTCCATTCTACTGCATTTGTTTGCACAAATCTGTGAGCATCTTGAAAGCAATGACTGGGTCTTAATCATGTCTTTTCTCTCTGTGTCCAGCACAGGGGCAGACACAATGATCTGTGAACTGATTTGAATTGATAGAAGGCTTTCCCCAAAGTCTGATGTTGTATCTTTTAAATCAGGGCTTGGCAAAATACAGCTTGAGGGCCAAATCTGGCCCACTACTTGTTTTTGTCAATAAAGTTTTACTGGAACACAGCCCCATCCATTCATTTACATATTGTCTATGGCTGTGTTTGCACAGAGTTGAGTAGTTGCATCAGAGGCTGTATGACCCATAGAGCTTCAAATATTTACTATTTGGTCCTAGCTAGAAAAAGAGTTTTTGTTAGGTGCTGCTGAGTCGATTTTGAGTCATAGAGATTCCATGTAACAGAGAACTGGACCCCTAGGGTCTTGGCTATAATTTAGTGGCATCACAAGGGAGTGCAGAGGAGGTATGGACTACAGTGTGACCCTGTCAGAAGGAATGATACCAAAATGACTGTCTATAGGATAGATTTGTGTGTAGTATTGCAGTGGACATATATTATTTTTGATAAAAACATCCCTGTAGTCAGTTACAACAATGTTACAAAAAACATTTTTTATAAGCCCGGCTTACAGGTACCAACATACTTACAAGGCCAAACTCTGTACCCATTTACTTTTTGAACCTTATAGCATACTCTGCTCAGAGCTGTCACTATTATCCAATTACAATGATGCTTCGAATCACGTGGTTCCCTCTGCACAGGCTACAAGCCCATGTTGTTGTTTTCATTGCTACCAGAGTTTTTATAGTCTCTGATTTTGTCAGATTTTCTGGTGTCTCAGCTACAGTATTGTGGTAAACTGTATTTGTGAACCTGTATCAGTAACTCTTTGGCGAATTAAACTATTGAAAGGAAAAGAAAGAAAATCAGAAAAGGCTTCTTTTTAGTTACTAACAATGTTGTAACGAATGATGCTGTAATTCACCGTAGAAACTGATGATGAGCGTCACTGATGAGTCTATATGATCTGGTACGGGAGGTGGTCTGTGGAGGGGTGACACTGTAAGTTACTGCTCTGGGTGACTCCAACCCTTGGACTCGATGGTTATAATTTTTACACAAGTAGATCAACAGGTCTCTCTCCCACAGAGCAGCTGAGTGGGTTCAAATCTTGAACATTTCAATTAACAGTTGTGCCACCTGAGTACCTTAGAAAAACTTCGCTGACCCCTATTTTAACGACACTAATGGTTAAATGCTCAACTGTGAGCTGAAAGGTTGGTGGTTTGAACCTACCCAGATGCCTTAGAAGAAAGGCCTGGCAAACTACATCTGAATGGTCACAGCCTTGAAGACCCTACGCAGCGGTTCTACTCTGCACACCTGGGGTTGACGTGAATCCAAACTGACCGCATAGCAACTGACAACAACAACATTCTAAATGACAACGGACTGCGGACAGGGTGAAAGAGGGGGAGATCCTGGGTAGGTGGTGCCATGGTGGAGGCAGCAAGGTGGGAAGAGGACTGAAGCTGCGCAGATGCCTTCCTGGGAGTCCAGAGCCCTGCCTTCCAGCACCAGCTCTCACTGTCCTGCCACGTGACCTTGCATGAGGGACTGTGGGTAAGTGCACATCCGGAGACAAACCCCTCTCTCGGCAGGGACAACCGAGACACTCAGCATGCTCTGGAGCGGGACCTCGAGGACAAAAGTTCAGCCCAGTTTATTGACGAGAAGTGCTTTAACCTAAAGAACACGTCAGACTGCATCAGCTTCTTCCACGGCATGGAGAAAGTCGACGGCACGTGAGTACGGGGCTTTCTGTCCTCTCCCTCGTGGGGCCAATAGGGATAGGCTTCTGAGTCAGTTCCTGCCAAGGAAAGGTCAAGGGCCATTGGGAGAGATGGGGTGGTTGTCTGTGGATCCTCGATTGCAAGTAACAGAATCCAGTTCTGACTTTAGACAGAATGGAATTTACTGGACTGCTATGTAGGAACCACAGACTCAAGGGGTAGGTGGGAGAGCACCAGGCTCTGACAACTTGAGGGAGCTGGGGTGTAGGCACTGACCAGGCATGTTGTCAGAGCACCACCAATTTTCCACTCTTGCCCATGAACTAATTCTCCAGGGCTACTGTAAGGAATTGCCACACTACATGTTTTAAGCAACAGAAACTTCCTATCTCCCAGTCCTGAAGGCCAGAAGTCTGGGTTCAGGGGTGTCAGCAGGCCCACGTTCTCTCCAAGGCTCTAGAGAAAAATCTCTCCTTGCTCTTCCAGCTTCTGGTGACCCCAGGCACTCCTTGGCTTGTGGCTGCATCACCCCGGTCTCTGCCTCTCTTATCACATGGCCGTCTTTCCCCTGTGTTTCTGTGTGTCTGTCTGTGTCTCTTCTCCTTTTCTTTAAGGACACCCACCATATTGGATTAGCACCCACTGTACTCAGTATGACCTCATGTCACTTAACTAATGACATCCACAAAGACCCAATTTCCAAATAATGTCACATTCACAGGTACAGGGGGTTAGGACTTCAATGTATTCTTGGGGAGTCACAATTCAACCCCTAACATCCCACTTGGTTCAAGATCCAAATTCCAGAAAGACAGAGCATGTAACTGACTTAGTGAGTCACATGACCACCACCGCTCAGCCAGGGGATCTGGGCACCTTGGCTGGCAACTCCACCAACTTCCAAAAGCAAAATGGCTACAACCAGACAGAGGGGGGATGCAAGCTCAGCAGAAAAGCCAACTGATGCCCACTAGTGCTGGCAGCAGGAGCTCTGGTAGCATAGTGGCTAAGACACTTGCCTGCTAACCAGACGGCTGGTGGTTCAAACCCACCAGCCACTCCTCGGAAGGAAGTTTGGGCAATCCTACTTCCGTAGTGATACTGCCTCGGAAACCCAAGGAGGGGTCGCTATGAGTCGGGGCCGACTTGACGGCACATAACAACAACAACAACAGTGCTGGCAGCAGTTATGAGAGGGTAGACCCCGGCCGGAGTCAGGCTGCCTGGATCCAAATCCCAGCATCGACACTTAGACCTTGGGAAAGCCACTTAATTTCTGTGGGTCCCAGTCTCCTCATCTATGTCATTGGAATGAAAACAGTACCCACCTCTCAGGTGGCTGTGAGTAATGAAAGCTGGGCCCATGAAGTCTAAGCAGGGACCCCAGCCTGGAAGAATGAATACTGCCGACATTTATGCGTGCTTGCTGCATGCTAAGGAGCTCTGGTGGTATAGTGGGTAAGGCATTTGGCGGCTAACCAGAAGGTCAGCAGTTCAAACCCACCAGCCATGCTGCAGAAGGAAGATGGGGGTAATCTACTTCTGTAAAGACTGACAGCCTCGGAAACCCAATGGGGGTTTCTGTGAACTGGCATCAACTCAAAGGCAGTGATTTTGGTTTTTGGTTTTGGTTTTGCTGCATGCCTGGCACTCTTGTGTGTGACCTCATTCTCTTGCCATGACAGCTATGAGGCAGGTGCCTTCTGTATGCCTGGCACTGCTGGCATGTCACAGCCTTACAAGATTTCAAGCAGCGTGAACACACACTTTCCCCATAGGGAGTCCTAGGTCTGAGGGAATGGGGGCCTGGAGAGAGAGACACACTGGGTATAGGCCGAGGGGTGGTGTCTTGCCTTGGTCAATTAAAAAAAAAAAAATCTTTAGCAACATAGAAATGTGCTTGGCACACAGTAGGTGTGCAGGAGATATTTGTTAAATGAAAGAAAGAATGAAAAAGAGAAGGGAGGAAAGGAGTCCCTGGGCAGTCGCATTGGCCCAAGTCTGGGATCACTATCTGGACCTTAGTCAACGTCCAAGTGTTGAGATTACCCTTCCTTTATGGAAGTAGATTGGCCCATCTTCCTTCTGCAGAATGGCTGGTGGGTTTGAGCCAACAACATTCTGGTTAGTAGTCAAATGCCTTAGGTACCACATCACCAGAGCTCCTTATAATAATAATGATAGTAGATGTTTTTTACCTGATACTTACTGTGTGCCAGGCATTGTGCTAAGAGTTTTATATGCATCATCCCAGTGATGATAATGCCTGGGGACCCTCCTCCCTCTTCTGCAAGATGGCCACCCCCGCAGCCCTGCCAAGGTGAGCAGGACTTCAGTGCTTGGCCCTCCTTGGCCACAGCTGCCCCTGAGGACTGGAGTCTGGAGGGCTCCCTTCCCAAACAGAAGCCTCCCTGAGAATCTGGCAGCCAGGCCGGCTGGCGGAGACTCCGATTTCCACGCCCACGAGGAACTACCATTCAAAGTCCCTCATCTGGTGACTGGAGAGGGCGCTGCTGTTTGCAGTGACTAACTGCTCCCCAGATGTGCTAGCTCAGGGCTTTGTACTTGGGGTTTTCCTAAAGCAGGGCCACGTCTGGAGGACATGTGGAGACTGTCTGGTTGGCAGGGCTTCCACCAGCGCTCTCACTGGCGTGGATGGATTCATCACTATTAATACCATGGCCTGGCAGAAGAGCAAACACATGTGTGTTGGAAGAAGTACAGCCAGAACGCTCCTTAGAAGCAGGATGATGAGACCATCTTAGGTACTTTGGACACGTTATCTGGAAGGACTAGTTCCTGGAGGGTCAGCAAAAAAAGAGGAAGATCCTCGATGAGATGGGTTGACACAGTGGCTGCCACAAGGGGCTCAGGCACAGCAATGATTGTGAGGATGGCGCAGGACCAGGCAGTATTTTGTTCTGTTGTCCACAGGGTCACTATGAATTGTAACTGACTTGATGGTACCTAACAACAACAATAATAATGATCTGAAACCAAACTCACTGTCATCGAGTCAATTCCTACTTATAGTGATCCCTTTCAGGTTTCTGAGGTGGGAAATCTTTATGGAAGCAGATTGCTCCATCTTCCTTCTGCAGAGCAGCTGGTGGGTTTGAACCAACGACCTTCTGGTTAGTAGTCAAATGCCTTAGGCACCACACCACCAGAGCTCCTTATAATAATAATGATAATAGATGCCTTTTATCTGATACTTAGTGTGTGCCAGGCACTGCACCAAGAGTTTTATATGCAGATTCTCATGAATAATAAATATTTATTGAGCACTTACTATATGGCAGGTACTATGACAAGGGGTTCACAGATTTCATTTAGCCATTCAATAACCCTGTGAGGTAAGTACTGTTATTATCCCTTGCAGAGTTTAGGAGTTCCTGAGACCAATCTCACTTCTGACACAAACTACTAGTTTGGGAGTCCCCAAGACCACCCTGAGGTTCAATAATCTGCTGGAAGGACTCACAGAACTTGACAAAGACTTGTACTCATGGTTACAGTGTATTACAGTGAAAGAATACAGACTAAATCAGATGGAAGAGGCACATATGGCAGGGTCCAGGAGACACCAGGCCAAGCTTCCAGTGGTCCTCTCCCAGGGGAGTCACAGACAGCATTAACTTCTCCCAGCGCCAGACGTGTGACAGGAGACATGGAGCATTATCTTCAGCCCCTCCAGAAGTGGAGCTAAGGCCCCCACCTTAAGTCACACTGCTAGCATAGACTACCTGGCAGGCCCGAGGCCTCCAGATAAGGACACTCTGATTAGGCAGGGAATTCCAACTGTTCAGAGATTACCTCCCAGCAGCCTGGGGACAGAGGCCAGACCTCTCTTTGGGCAAGGGTAAGGGTGGCACAGTGGTTAAGTTTTCAGCTGCTAACAGAGAGGTTGGCAGTTCAAACCCACCAGCCTTGGAAGCCCTATGGGGGCAGTTCTACTCTGTCCTAGGTGGTCACTATGAGTCAGAATCAACTTGACAGCAACAGGTTTGGTTTAAGAATCCCTAGTGGTGCAGTGGTTAAGTGCTCACCACCAGTGCTCTATGGGAAGAAAGATGTGGCCGTCTGCTTCCATCAAGATAAGAGCCTTGGAAGCCCTATGGGACAGTTCTATCTTAAAGGGTTACTCTGAGTTGGATCCAACTCTACAGCAATGGGATGGAAATTCTTAACTGAAGGAGCCCTGGTGGTATCCAAAGAGCTCAGCTGCAAACCTGAAGAATGGCAACCCTCCGAGTGGCTCCACAGAGAAAGAACTGGCAATCTGCTTCCGTAAAGATTACAGCTATGGGCCCTACATCACAAGAGTTAGAATGGACTTGATGACAAACAACAACGACCCTTCTCTGCACATTCCCAGTTTACAAAGAAGACGCTAAAGCTCGGAGAGGTGAAGTGACTGGCCCAAGCTCACACAGCATTTGTATGTTTAACCACAGCTGCTTCCTGCCTCTCCAGCCAAGCCTGCTGTCTTCAAGACTTTCGAGGACATGGGCTCCGAAAGTACCTCCCTACTGATGTGTCTCCTGCTGCGGAGACAGACTGCCTTTGGTAAACTCACCCTGGGTGGAGGTAATTACGTGGGTTATTTTCTCTGGGGAGCTCAGCGGTCTGCACCAAGGGAATGAGAGGAGTCAGAGACTGTGGCACTGAGGCTGCTGTTCGTGACACTGAGCTGTCCCATCCTGCTGCTGTGGATACACTTAGAGGAAACTGGAAGGCCCCGTCTGCTGCCCTGGTCTCTTCTCCCTCTGGCGTCCTGGGGATGATGAGCCTTTGTGTGGCCTTGGACAAGCTGCTCACCTTACTGCACCTTGTGTCTTTGCTGGATGAAGCGCTGGATTGTGTCTTTGTGTCTTGTGTCTTTGCTGGATGAAGCACTGGATGGGACACTGTGGCCTCTCTCGTCTCTGTAAACCTGAGCTCCATCTGTTGCTTGAATTTAACACCTGCAAAGGCCAGACACCACCACCTACAGAGTGAACCCGAGAGCCCAACTCAACGGGACTGCCTTGCCTTTCTGAGACTTGTGTAAGTGTTCTGCCTTTGACAGGGTGCAGTCTTACCATTTTGCATCGCTCATTTTAGTGGGAACTGTTTGAGTTTTCCTTTCCAGGTTCTGGCTTTTGCAGGTTTTTCTGAACATGTTTTTTGAAATGTTAGCTTTACCATGAAACCTAAGTGTGCTCTGAAATCTCAGAAGAGAGACTTCTGTCTACTGGCTGAGAAAGCAGCCTGTTGGTTATGCTAATGGTGGTGGGACTTTTGGAAAAGGATTGCAATAATGGTGGCACAACATGAAAAATGTCATCAATGTCCCTGAGCTGTAAATGGGGAAGTTGTTATGCTGGTGAATGTCTTGTTGTGTATGTTTTCACCACAACATGTCTGTTTTATTTAAGAACTGGAGATTTTCTGGGCTCAAAAAGACCTTGAAAAGGTATCTAGTCTGGCTTACCCAGGAGCTGAAGCCAGCTAAAAGGAATGCATGTCCTTCGTTCCTAAAGGCTTTGCAGGGGAGAAAACTCCACACATTTGTAGGCTGCTTGCTCTAGGATTTACATACTCTGCCAGATATTTCTGTTGTCTGATTGGAGCCCCTTAGGTGTCACTGCCTCCGAGAAGCCTTCCTTGACTGACTGTGTCCATCTCTGTTCTTCCCCCTGGGATCCATTCTCCAGCTGCCCTGCTGTGTGTACTGGAGAGGGGGCTGCCCTCTGCAGACCGTCTCTCCCGGGCTGTCTGCTTTTGGCTTTCAGCCAGCAGAAGGGCATCAGCAGGAGTTGGAGGGCAGGAGGAAAGAGATGACAGGGGATTTTATTCCCTTTGATCCTTCCCTCCTCTTGGCCCTTCATGGCTCCTCCTCTCCCGGACTCTGGTAACCATCTCCTCTTGTCCCGTCAGACCTAGGATGGAGACACCTTCATGCATTCACTAGTCTATGAGCTCCTCAACTCTCCTCATTGGTTCTTTTAACTGTCCCACACCTTTGAGGATGGTCCCTTCATGAACACCCTTCTAAGTGTGCCACATTTCCTTTATGATCCTGACTGACACGTAGTGATCCCACTGCATTCATCTAAATCCTTTCTAGCAGTTAACGTGGTGTGTGAGTCTCTTATTTACTGTCTCTCTCCCTCACTGGAAATTAATCACCATGAGGGCAGAGACCTTGCTGTTCTTGTCCATGGCTTTATCCCCAGTACCTAGAACCATGCTTGGCATGGTAGATGCTCCGAAAACATCTGTTGAGTGAACAAGTCAGTGAACTGGCGTGGCCTTGAGCTCATCACCAAGTTGAAGGACCCTGCAGCAGCCAGTGTCATGCCTCAGTGCCTGAGGCACTTCGTCTGTCTCTGGGTTTTGTGGTGGTTGTGGGGAGTGTTACAGAAAGGAGGTCTTCTCCTACCAGCCCATTGAGTGCCCTGGGGAAAGCCAGCTGCTCTGTCCAGGCTGCAGTGGCCTCACCTGTAAAAGCAGGGTGGGATTAGGACAGTGGTTCTCAGCCTGGGCGACTGTTCTTCCTCCTCCAGGGGACACAGAGCAAGGTCTGGAGATGTTCCCTATCACAGTGGGGGGAGAGAGCGCTACTGGCATCTAGTGGGTGGAGGCCAGGGATACTGCAAAACATCCTCCAGTGCACAGGACAGCCTCCTACTGCAAAGATGATCCGGCTCCAGAAGGTAAAATTGCCCAGGCTGAGAAACCCTGGTTAGGAGTTCTCCAAGGCTCACCACAAGCCCCTGACTTGTATTTAAACCCCTGTGTTAAATTTGCTCTCATGGCCCTTGCAGGATCTCCGTGCCCGAGACCTGGGCCAAATTCAGCAATGACAACATCAGGCACTCTCAGAACATGAGAGCCAACTCCATCCGGCTGCGGGAGGAGGCAGAGAACCTCCTGGAGATGTTGTCGGATCAGATGTGGAAGCAGTTTACGGACACCAATCTGGCCTTCAATGCCCGCATCTCTGAAGTGACAGATGTTAAGAACAAGCTACAGACCCAGCTGGCCAAGGTAAGTGAGACGGGCCTGGGGGACTGAAAGACCCCATCCACTTTGCTGAAACCCACACCTTCCACCTGTGGGTCTTAGCAGCATCTGGGCCAAGTCACCCACTCACCCTTGGAGCTGAAATGGTCTCATTCATCCCATGGTCTGTGATCTTGTCCACCCCAAGGGCTATGAGCTTTCTGGAGGGGCTCCAGCATCTGGGGTGAATCTTGCTCACTAGATGGTGGAGCTTAGAGCTTGGCCTGGCTGCCACAACATTACCCAAGAGGTTGCTGATGGTCCCAGTCCCCTTCACCCTCCATCTGAGGACCATGTGGCTGAACATAGCCCTAGAAAACCAACATGCCTGTCAATCAGATCTGAGCAGACCTGCATCTGCTCATATCAGCATCTTCAGAAATGTAATCCTTTGACTTTCTATGGCTCTGACAGCACAACGATCCACTGTTGAGGATCGAGGTGCTTTCTGAATTTAAGAAGTAGCAAGGACTGCCTGATTCTGTCACCTATCTCTTGTTATACCTCACCCTTTCACTACTCTCTTGCTCAAATGTGTCATGTGGTTTCACCCCTCTGGGATGACTCGTAAGGGGTCCTTTCTGCATGAAATTGACCCTCCTTATTCAACATAAATGGGCAGAGTGCCTACCTGGTGTCAATGCTGTGCTAGAGGTGTTCACCTCATCTGGAAAAGTCCAGGACCCAGTCCACACCTAAGGAGCTCTGGTGGTGCAGTAAGTAAGACATTTGGCTGCTAAGCAGAAGGTCAGTGGTTCAAACCCACCCACTGCTCTGTGGGAGGAAGATGGGGCAACCTACTTCTGTAAAGATTTATAGACTTGGAAACCCAGTGGGGGTTGCTATGAGTCAGAATTGACTTGATGGCAGTGAGTTTATTGTTTTTTGTTTGTTTGTTTGTTTGTCCCTATCTGTACTGCAATTGGTTCACAACTGGCTACAGACACTTACCATGTAAGACCAGGTCTATATGGCTCACCATGTAAGGTTTGGATTACCCAAGGCTTGGGGCCATGTAGATAATAACCTCAGCCACTCACTGACCCTGGGATTTCATGCACCAATCCAATAAGGCCAGACCCCAAACCTTATAGCTTTCCCTGGGTCCTTGTCCTTGTCCATGCGGAGGCACTTCAAATTCTGGAGCATCTCCTGGTCATAGTGATGGTCACCAGAAGAGGGACTGGTGTCTTCTCTGGGCTGAAGCTATTGATGACTACAGAGTTGGCTGCCCCAGGAGTCTCCAGATAGGGATACCCCCCTCAACACACACACCTGCATGGACGTGCCTTTGTTGTTATTAGTTGCCACTGAGTCAGCTTCGACTCCTGGCAATCTCGTGTACAACAGAATGAAATGTCGCCCAGTCCTGTGCCATCTTCATGACGGTTGGTACGCGTGAGCGTACTGCTAAGGCTCCTGTGTCAATCCATCTCGTCCAAGTTTCTCTTGTTTCCATTGACCCTCTCCTTTGACAAGTATGGCGTCTTGTTCTAGCAATTGGTTCTTCCTGATGACGTGTCCTAAGTCAGCAAGCTACAGTCTCTCGTGCTTGCTGCGAAGGAGCGTTCTGCTTGTATTTCTTCTAAGATGTGATGTGTTTGTTCTTCTGGCAGTCCACAATATATTCAATATTCTTTGCCAACAGCACAACTTAAACACATCAATTCTTTCTTGACTTTTAAACTCAAACTCACTGCCATCAAGTCGAATCTGACTTATAGTGACCCTTCCTTGGGTTTCTGAGGCGGTATCTCTATGGAAGTAGGTTGGCCAATCTTCCTTCCGGGGAGTGGCTTGGTGGGTTTGAACCACCAGTCTTCTGGTTAGCAGTCAAATGCCTTAGGCACTACGCCACCAGGGCTAGGGGACTCTTAATGTGGAAGAAAAGATGCAAGAGGACCCTAGAGGGAGGGGTGGTGCCTGGGGAGCAAGACACTGTTTTAGAACAGTGCTGACTCCAACACGTGGGGACTGGGCCCTGGTGGGTGCCACGGTGCTGCACTGATGTGGAGAGAGGTATCCCCTGTTCCAGTCCTTGTGGTGAAGCGCTCCACTGGCTGCTAGAATGCCTTCATCCCCTCTTTAACCCTCACCAATCTCCCTTTAAGCAAAGAGCAGGCCACAGGCAGCAACGGTATCCACCCAGAGTTTATGTAACAGGCTTTTCCTTTCATCCTGTTTCATGTACTTTTATGGTTATTTCTACTTATGGCAACTGACACTGATTTTCCACTGATAATAGTGACATAAAGTTTCACTGAAAAAATAAGTGTATTTGAGTTTTTTTAAAAAAGTGGACTGGTATAAAGAGAAAGATTAAGTACATTGTGTTACGGGTGGTACCAGGATATGGCAGAAATGGTGAGGGTGGTAGGTGAAAGCCAGACACTTGGAAAATAGCCATATAGACTAAGACTACAAAATGCAAACCCATTGCCAAAGTTGAGTCAATTACGATTCACGGGCACCCAGTGGGCTACAGAATAGAACTGTTCCATAGGGTTTTCTGGGCTGTAATCTTCTCGTAAACAGATCACCAGGCCTTTCTTCTGCAGAGCCACTGGGTGGGTTTGAACTGCCAACATTTAGGTTAGGAGCCAACTGCAAACTGCTTATGCCACCCAGGCTCCTCCCCACACATAGACTTCATTGTTGTTGTAGCTACGTCAAATCGATTTTGACTCATAATGACCCTGACTCATAATGACCCCAACTCATAATGACCCCAAGTGACAGCGTAGAACTGTCCCAGAGGATTTTCTAGGCTGTAGTCTTTACAGAAAGGGGCCTGGTGGCATAGAGGTTAAAGTGCTCATCTACTAATGGAAAGATCTGTGATTTAAACACACCAGCTGCTCTGCAGGAGAAAGATAAGGCAATCTGCTTCCATAAAGATGACAGCTTTGGAAACTCTATGGAGTAGTTCTCCTCTGTCCTTATGAGGCTCTGTGAGTCAGAATGGATTTTGCAAAGGTGGTTTTCTTTCCTTTGTTTAAATTTAATCTTTATGGGAGCAGATTGCCAGGTCATTCTGGGGAGCAGCTGGACAGGTTCAAACCACCAACTTTTGGATGAGCCGCAGAGCACTTAATACAAAAAAAAAAAAAAAAAAACCCTCATTGCCATTTCGTAGGGACTCCACTGAGTTTCCAAGGCTGTAAGTCTTTATAGAAGCAGACTGCCTTGTCTTTCTTCTGCAGGGTAGCTGGTGGGATGGAACTGCCCCACCTTTTGATTAGCAGCCAAAGGCCTTAACCACTACACCACCAGAGCTCCTTGAGCACTTAAGTGTTGTTGTTGTTGCTGTTTGCCCTCAAGTCGGATCCAACTCACAGTGACCCCTCCTTGGGTTTCCGAGGCAGTATCACTAGGGAAGTAGATTGCCCAACCTTCCTTCCGAGGAGTGGCTGGTGGGTTTGAACTACCAGCCTTCTGCTTAGCAGTCAAATGCCTTAGGCACCACACCACCAGAGTTTATGTGTGTGTGTTATATGCCATCGAGTCAGACCTGACTCCTAGCGACCCCTCCTTGGGTTTCCGAGGCAGTATCACAACTGAAGTAAGATTGCCCAACCTTCCTTCCAGGGAGTGGCTGGTGGGTTCGAACCGCCAGCCTTCTGGTTAGCAGTCAAGTGCCTTAGGCACTATGCCACCAGAGCTCCACCAGATTTTATAGTAGGATGTTATTAAGAGGGCATCAATCTTTGAGTAGGCCAATTAGACTTACCAGAGACACAAAGTCTGATTGTTTTAGATTCTTCCAGAAACCTGGAGAGTTTAGCTGGGTAGTGCACGTGCCAGGCTCTCCCTGGGTACTGCTGGTCAGCATCCGATGGTCAGAAGCTTCATTTTGGCCAGGCCCGACCTCGCCATAGCCCCTCATGAGAATTTCTCAGTATCCCTCTCCTTTTAACCTAATGCTTCCATGATGCATGGTTCAAGGGAAACAAACAAAAAATCCAAACCAGTTACCATCCAGTCAGTTCCAACCTGTGGCGACCCCATGGGTATCAGAGTAGAACTGCACATAGGGCTTCAGTGGCCGTGACCTTCACAGGTAGAATGCCAGGCCTTCCTTCGGAGGGACCTCTGGCTGAATTCAAACTACCAACCAGTCAGTTAGTTGTCCAGGACTTAACTGAGTGCTCCACCCAAGGGAGTCTTAGTAAACGGTGGTTGAGTGAGTGTTTTGCATCACAGGACAAACACTAGCACTCCAAGGTTGAACTTGGCTAGTATAGTTGGCCTTGATGGAGACTTTTTCTTTTAACAGCTTTATTCATAGTTGGCATATAATTAACTGCATGTATTTAAAGTGCCATTTGATAAGTTTTGTCATGAAACTGTCACCACAGTCGATAGAGTGGCCACACCCATCACCTCCAAGTTTCCTTGTGCCCCCCTGTCATTCCTCCCTCCTGCCCCTCACCCACTGTACCTGGCCACAACTGTGGATGCTTCCTGTTGCTATAGAGTAATTTACATCTTCTAGAATTTTCCATAAATGGAGACGGACAGTATGTACTTTTTTTTCACTTGGCTTTCTTTCACTGAGCATAAGCATTCTGAGATTCATCCGTGTTGTTGAGTGTATCAGTACGTTATTCTGCTTTATTACTGGGCAGCGTCTTCTGTGCTACTGTACTGTGTTGCTGGAACACAGTGCTTATATCCTAAGGCTACTGTATTGTACAGGTACACCACCTTGTATATAGTGCACAGACAGTCCACAGTTTAAGGCACCTAGATGGCACAGATGGTTATGCGTAGGCTACTAATAAAAACTTTGGTAGTTCAAGTCCACCAGAGGCTCTTCAGGAGTAGGACAAAAGGTCTCAGTCATTGAAAACTCTGCGTACAATTCTACTCTGACACGAGGGGTCACCATGAGGCAGAACTGACTCAACAGCAACTGCCGTGGTTCACCCCACGATGTATGTATCCATTCGCCTGCTGATGAACATTTGGATTTTCCATTTGAG